TGCTTAATGAAGTCGAATGCATGGAGCATCCCTCAGGTATTATTCAACGCCGAGAGCTTTATTCTTCATCCTTTAAAACTAATCTACTACCATTAGATTGATTGTGGTATAGAGGTTTTTTTTGGAAAACTCTGTCAATATCCTCTTTTGGTTAGTCAGGACAAACAATATTCGGTGATTGTTGATTCGCTTGAACTCTTCCGTTCGTCAACAAGCCAGAGATTAACGATGCATGTTTGTTTCCCTCCGCAAAACTCAACAGTATTATGGCACTTTCGCCATTAAGTTGTTGTGTCTTTTTCCTGTTATGATTCGATTAATCGGAGTGGTCGGTAAAATTATAATAGTCATCCAGTTTGCTGTACATGTGTTAAAGGGTAAATGTTAAAGCATTCAATGTTGATCAATTCTTGAGGAGTGCATTCGACTTCATCAAGCATCGTTAGAGGTCATGCACTGCATACTAGACCTGAACACTGACTGGCGGTGATCTACCGATATACAGGATCAACATCTCTATTCTTCCCGAGAAGTCTGATGCTCATTCTCGGACTGCGAGGGTACGGAAGGCCTTGTTAATCCGGTTCACGAGATCGAACCTGTGACCGATCCTGTATGTGTTGCGACACACTTCTAACCATTGCGCTATAGACGCACTTATCAGAATATCAACGTAGCTACTACATAACAAAAAGACACAGAACATTCCATACCTTCAGCATAGGATTTATATGCAACGCTAAGGTCTATTGCTTCGACCATCAATCGCACTTGGTGAGAAATGCCGTGGTTGGTGGCTGGTCGCGGGCCTACGTGAAGCGTCGCCAAATTTTTTCGTAGGACCCGTCTTTCACATCTAGTGTGCGCATTCCAGCACTTTTCACATACGATTACTTTCATCGCATCCATCATCTACGAAGGTCTTCAAACTTGCCTTGTGTGAATTTGGCTGATTTGCCATTCTTCATGAACGTTGTCGAATACTGTTCGGGTCGATTCTCCTTGAAGTCCTGAGACAGCTAGGCTAGGGTGCTCCAACTAGGGCTGCAGAGAGTTAACTTTGTGTTCAGAAAGTCTGGTAGCAATTTCTCGACCGCGACGAGCTGAGGTGCTTCGTGGTCACGGAATGGATTTTAAGAGATTGAAGCGTCACCAAACTACGAACTGGAAATTAAAAAGTGGTCAAAATAGCCTTATATACGTCCTAAGATGCAGAAAGGTAAAGGGGTCTTTGTTGCTATACTGGATTGACATGCCCCTAAAGTATTTACCTAAACATACCCTTGCAAGCTTGCGTGGTTTCACCTACATATAAGCAGATTGTACCTTACACTGAGACTCGTACAAAAGCTTTTAATTATGTAGTTGACTGTCGAAGGTTGCTCAGAATCACTTCTAACAAATGAGGTCAGTGTCTAGTTTAGAAGAGCTTGGCAAAATATTACTCACCAAGGCACTGTAAGAGTAATGGTCTTCATTTCACTATCCTCGAAAGTATTTGTGACATTAGTGTTTTGTAGGATGAGTACGAAGACTGTTAAGGCATCAAAGTTATTCTTGTATTTTGAGAGACTTTGATGACGATCCAACGCTTGATTTTAGCCCAAAAATCCTAGTCTAAAGCGCTGATGATATAAACTGGGAAAAGTACGACGTATTCTGATACGCTGAGGTTTAAAGATTTCGCGTACCAAACACCTTTAATGACACAAGAAGGGATTTATTTCTCGTAACTTGCAGAAGCAAAAAGTCGGTGGCATTGGCAAACCAGTATTGTCGTGATTACTGATTTTTCTGGACAACTCTAGTTAGCTATTTGAACCGGATATTAACTGTTGAAAAGACGTATTATCGCTCTTGACAATCTATCGCGTACGTTTCCTACGAACTCGAAGGTGATCTGTGAACAAAACAAATACCTTCCACGAGCTGATCACCGGCAACCTTAACCCCAGAAATGGACCCATGGAGAACCGCTAAAAATCATCACACCACTACCTGCCGATTGGATTGAAACGAAATTTAAGTTTATCTCTACGCTTAAGATCATCATGATAAAACTCCAGAAGCCCTCCTTTGAATTTTAGTAGTTGTCTATCAGTGGACAGTAATTTTAAGCGAAAGAAACCCACATTAAGTAAATCGAGAGTTTCCCATAACTCATTTCTCTTCAATCACAAGGTTTTAGAAGAAATTAAGAGCAAAGAGCTATCCAGTGAGTGATGTTGATGGCCTTGCCATTGTTTTACAACAAGTTTCAAAATAAATTTATTTAATGGTCTTCTTATCAATCATTTATGCTGATGTTATCATTTCGAAACAAGGATGACTCGCATCTGAGAATATAACAGTGCTCTCTTCACTTCCAACGTTGTACACGGCATTATGTAGAAGAGCCGCTTGGCGAAGCAACGTTTCCCTACTCTCTTGACTTCCTCGCGTTGACAGCTGTTAACAACATTAAAGCTAATATATCTTTCTACTTCTGTTCAGCAAACACAAGGTACTATTTTATTTCTTTATTTACGCACAAGCTGACGTTTCGGAAGATTTCGCCTTCCTCAGAGCCTGGTAGGGTCAACTTGACAGCAATCCATTCGGCCAAACACCTCCATAACCAAACAGAGAAAACGCTAAACCAAGATTTCAATCACATTTAGCATAGCTCTGCACACCCACCGTTTTCAAAGAGTCTTCCACTGAGTATGTCGCGTGAAGACCGACCGCACCAAATTCACATGGAAGCGTAATGTGCTCCTCCCATCAAAATAACAGGTTTATATACTGTCCAATATCGCGCGCGATAACGAGGCATTCTTCCCTGCGGTTCATTTTCGGATTCTCGGAAATAAACCAGAATGCCTCTAGAGTTTTGCGCGCTTGTGTTCTCTATTCTTGCGCGAAGATCGTAACCCTTCAAAATCTCCTCCGTTATGTTTCTGCGTGCTATACGTACCAAGTGGAGCCCAAGAGCCCATTTCCGTTATCTCAACATCTAACTGATGGGGAATTACAACGAACTCTCCACCCTTATCACTAACCGATAGTCTTATGTTTTTTCATCCTATCAGCTCTCATACCTCCCGCATACCAGGTTTTTTTATTTCAGTGAGGTTGGAACAGTATCTTTTAGCGCGATAGTGATTAAGGTCTTTGAAAGTTTCATTCGTAAACATCCGAAATTTAACATCGACTTCATTAATGGGCTCTTGGGCTCCACTAAGTACGCATAGCACGCAAAAACATAACGGAGGAGATTTTGTAGTAAGGGTTACGTTCCTCGCGCAAGAATCGAGAACACAAGCGCGCAAAACTCTAGAGGCATCCTGGATAAATTCCAAGAATCCGAAAATGAACCGCAGGGAGGAATGCCTCGTTATCACGCGCGATATTGGACAGTATATAAACCTGTTATTCTGATGGGAGGAGCACATTACGCTTCCATGTGAATTTGGTGCGGTCGGTCTTCACGCGACATACTCAGTGGAAGACTCATAGAAAGCGGTGAGTGTGCAGAGGTGTGCTAAATGTGATTGAAATCTTGGTTTAGCGTTTTCTCTGTTTGGTTATGGAGGTGTTTGGCCGAATGGATTGCTGTCAAGTTGACCCTACCATGCTCTGAGGAAGACGAAATCTTCCGAAACGTCAGCTTGTGCGTAAATAAAGAAATAAAATAGTACCTTGTGTTTGCTGAACAGAAGTAGAAAGATATATTCAATCAATGCCGAGGTTAATAGAAAGTCGGACTTGGGAGTTATTAAAGCTAATTTTTACATTTTCAAATATCACTGGTGTTTTATCGTATCTGTAATATTTCGCCTCTACTCTTTACTAGAAATGTTCTTCACCTCTTTCCATTATCTCTTTACACATACCCGGCAGCGTCTAACCCAACGGTAATAGGTGCCTTTTGCAATACAAATGCGGTTCTTGGTTTGATTTTGCGTCCCAGGCTCGTCGTCCCTTCCATCCTTCCAGCGTTGCGAAATTTTCACCACATCGCAAGGCCACTGCAAGTCAATTCATAGGCCTGATATGCGCTCAACCACCTCTACGATGCTTGATTAAGTCGAATGCATGGCGCATCTATCAGGGATTGATCAACGCCAAACGCTTTATCTTTTATCTCAAATACGCGGAGAAATAAACTGCCTAACAAACGAACTTATCACTGATAACGAATAACGTGCACACACATACACATATAGACGTACACATACACACACATACACATACACAAGCACATACAAATACACATACACATACACATATACACAAACACGTACACATATGCACATACACACACACGCACCCATACACACACCCACACACCCAAACACCACACACACACGTATTACCATGTTTCCACTCTATCGATACTATCAGCAATCACCAATCAACGGCACGACAGAGAAAGCCAAGGGCGTCGGTTTGTGTGGTCGGTAACACGTGAGCCTTCGATAAGGGTAATCGGTGGGTTCAAGGTGCAACTGTGGTTCCGAGTTTTGTTCATATCTCAGCATTCTTGTTTTTGTATTTTACACGGTACTCTGCTATGAAGAACAATAGGTGGTAAATAAAGGTTTAGACATTCAGTGTTTCTCTTGATGAGAGAACACGGGGTTGTTCTTACATCATTTATTAATATACAATAGCCGACGTTCCAGCTATTTCGTCCTCATCAGAGCCTCGATAGGTCAAATTGACCTGCAGTGTACTCATCCGAACACTTTCATAACCTTAGCAGACAAAACTCCGCACATAAGTTTTCATTAGCATAGCAAAGACATTCTTTTAAACACCCACCATTTTATTCTGTCTACACAGGCCACATAGGAGGTTACGAACTACCTGGCCTCTGAGAGTGTCCGCTTGTGCTCCTATCACTGTTACCGAAGTTAATATATTTTTATTTTTTGAAGTTTTTTAAAGTCATAAGTAAATTCTGTTTCGGATGGTTTTTGTCTTCTTTAAAGTTTTTTGTAACGCTTGTGTTTCAGCTTCGATGGCATCGTCTGTTCCATCAATACCGTCACGCAAGTACACGCCGTCAGTGTACATGGAGAGACGAGCAAGACTGAAGATCTGGTTGACGTTGTTCATCGCCGTCTTCTTTATTTTCCCGATTCTAATCATCGTTATATTTCGTCTTCTACCGAGTTTGATTGATTACCTTGACCAAAGCTCATCAAAGGCGTGACATCATCATCCACTCTATTGACGACTGCAACCGATTTCAACTAGATCACAGATAAATCCATTCAACTCGATTTCACGAAGTATTTGACACTCATTTATCAATGCTGAATATGTCGCACAGTACGATAGCAGAGTATTTGTCGGTGCAGTAACGTGGAGTAAAGTCATTGGGTTCCCTACCGTGTAAATAAACTTCGCTAAAATCATTTTCATATTTTTATTAAGGATATGTTTCACCCATAAAACAACATATTCTCACATTGTTATATGTTGAAGAGAGTGTTGATTAGCCATAATTATAGAAATTCTCACTTTTATTCTGCAATATCGCGTCTGTGTATGTGTGGGTGTTTGGGTATTTGTATTTGTGTGGATATATTTGTATGCAAGCGTATGTGTTGTGCATTCGCATCCGTGGATATGAAACGTCGAAACCATGCATCGCTTTTTTTTGTGATATTAATTTCCATAACTGCTTTCTTACGAGCGCGTGTGGAACAGTGGTCGGAAGCGCCCTGCAATGCACATGATATCGATCTTCTGTACCCGACTCACCAAGCTTTCCATACCTCCGGGGTCAGCAAATTGGTGCCTGACTTGTCTGGGAGGATAGTAGCACTGGCATATACATCGATAGGCAACCATGAGTCTGATGCTTAGTGAAGTCAAATTCATGGCGCATCCCTCAGGTATTGATCAACGCCGAGAACTTTATCCTTCATCTTTTAACAGCTTTCTCCTTCTTCAAGCCACGGAATGAGTGCTTAACACATGTGTGACCTATTCTGAGACGTTATGCATTTGAAAATTCGTTCGAAAGGAGCTTTAATGAATTGTCAGATGTAGAGGGTTGCCTTTCATTGACTACGTCCAGTACAAGACATTTAAATTACCGATAGAATGCAAAAAATAGCAAATGAACTTTGCAAGTGGAAATAGACGATCAATAAAGTATGAATTGAATTCGAAGCGCACGGTCCATTGCAACCACCTTCGTTTGCATTTATATTGATGCATATGGTCACTTATGTGTTAACGCAAGTGTCTGTGATATTAGACTTCTTTACGAGTGTGTATAGTGTTTAAATTTTCCCAATATATCGTGGAAGGAGATAGGCATGAAGTTGAATTGCCGTTGAATTAATCAGAAGGGTAAGCAAACTGTGGTTCATCGATGAAATTTTTCGGACGTGTATAACAGGAATGCAGTACAGTCGTTCTGTACTGAAACCTTTAATACTAAAACATAAGAGTGCCAAAAGTTATCTTTGAAGTTTTTTACATAGCGTGAAAGTCTATTAGTTCAATTAGATTAATTTGCTTAGTCAGTTCAGTGCTTTCATCATCGATGTTAATGCCAAACGTCTCTTGTATACGCTTACCGATACTGCAAATCAGGACACGTTTTGATCGACAAGACGATATCGAAATCTGTGAAATTAATCTTCTCCAGTATCCTAGAGAATGCTATCATTTTTGGATTATAAACATGTGTTTTACATTTTTGGCACTGCATTTATGCTGATATCAATGATTTGTCACCTAACCATGGTTGAAAGATGTTTGGCTTTGTCGAACTGCGGTGTAGAGTTAAAGCTTCACCACTTAAGCAAAGCCTTCCATGGTGGAAAGGAATTCGACATTTTCATTCGGAAGTCAAGCTAAGGGCAAACCAATTCCAAGAGTCATCGTCGTTTTGTAGCAACCTGCTTGCACCTTTCTCGATTTACAAGGGTCTGAGACTGGTTATGGTGACGGCCTGAGATCGACATAGCGCTTGATACTCTAGAGAAAGAAATTTTTGTTTAATAAGTAAGCGGTGCGTTTAGTCCAGTGGTCGGAGGCTCCTTGCAATACACATGAGATCGATCACCGCACTACAGGCTCATCGAGTTCTATATCCTTCCAGGGTCGGCAAATTGGTACCAAACTTGTCTGGATGGATACAAGCACTCAAGGTCACGCAACTCACCGTATAAGCCAGATATGCATTCAACCACTTCTAACGATGTTTAGTTAAGTCGAATGCATGGCGCATCCCTCTCTGGCGCAGGGATTGATCAACGTCAAGATTTTTTTTAGCTGATCGATTCCGTTCTCTGTATCTGTATCCGATTGTGGAATAGCTGTGCTAACGTCTAGGCCTTTTGGATTGGAGAACCAAGCTAATTTCAGACGACTTTTGTTTTTTCCCGGCTTTGGTGTTAGGGATGGAAAGGTTGGTATGGCTGAGGGGGAGTCGAGCCAACGACTGTGCGTGTATTGAACGGCACACTAGGTGTTGGCTTTCCGCGTTTTATATAATAGAATAATAGAATTTTGTTATCAATGCCAGATAATTTTAGCTTTTAGGTGGGTACTATAGTCCAACCTAAACCATTAAAATGGTGTGCCACTGGAGAATATTGGCCTTTTTGTGCTGATATAAGTGCTAATAAGTATCTGCTTATAATGGACTTTAAATCTAGAGGGCTAAACCTTTGTAGAATTAGTGCTTAAATTTAAAGCATGATTGTGATTACAAAAGAATTAGTGATGGCTTTAATACATCAATGATACGGAAGATGTTTACGCAAGATTCAATTAGTTACGATAGTCTGGTTGAATACTTGTATCAGTTACTGGATGACAAGAGCGACGTTGAGAGTGGTTCATGGCAATCAAGTGTTCTACAGCTTAATTCTGCTTTGATGAATGAAGAATTTCGTAATGAAACAATAAGAAGGATGAGAACACTATGGTTTCATGAGCGAATCGTTGTCTTCATGTGGTCCTCATAGACTCTTTGGAATTGGAATTGGTAGATTTTATTTAGACCAGACAAAATGACATTACAGAGCAGTTTGTGATAAACTCCACTTCATCTGTAAACGACGCTATTGCAGCGGATATTCAATAAGTGGAAGAGAAACCAAATTATGAGTAGCTTCAACGTGGCGAATTTTATGTGGAGCCTGTTAAACGACATTTGTTCCGAGGATCTATAGCGCTGCATTAGAAATCGCCTTTCGCGTAAAGCAAAATATCTTGCGGTGCTAGGTCACATGTTGGACAATAGGATGAACGCGGTCGAGTCAGGGTGCTGTTCAATGATGGAGTTTCGACACCTAATAAAAAGTGTAGCAAGCGAATAGACATAAGAAGTGGAATGTCAATACATCTCATTTCGTGGGCTATCGACATTATTGGTTTATGAGATAACTTGCGCAATAAAACTTTGAAACCTAGAACTAAAACCTTACGCATTTATAGTACATAACCAGGTCGATAGGAGGTCCTCTTACCTGATTTTTTTAAATATTGCACTTAGATCCTTCCAAGAACCGTGTGAACTTTTCCAAGCATTAGAAAAGTTAACGCCCAAAAAAGTGGTGAACTAGAAGGCTATAGGATAATGACTACAGTGTAACGCCATTTTACTTTTATTTGCTAAAATCTGTAACGGCAGTACCTTCCGTCCTTTTATTGACTGGGTTAAGTGGACCGTAGCCGTCTGTCTCTGTTCGATAAGCCGGCAGCGCAATGAGCTCCACGAGTCCGAGAGCATGATTTTCTTTCCATTGCTGATTTTTTTTCTCATTAGCACATACGAGGTTCTTGTTACAATATTTATCCATAATGACTGACGCTTCGGCGGTTTCAGCTTTTTCAGGGCTTAGGAGGCTCAAATTGATACGGATCTCTTCAAACAAACACCTTTACTTCGTATTTTTATTGAGCAAACGCGAGGTGTTACTATTCTTTGTTCACGATTAAGCTGACGTTTCGGCGGTTTTCGCCTTCTTCAGAGCCTGGAAAGGTCAAGTTGACAGCAATCTACTTGGCCAGACGCCTCCATAACCAAACAAAGAAACTCTAAACCAAGATTTCAATCACATTGAACACAGCTTTGCACACTCACCGCTTTCTATGAGGTCTCCACTAAGTATGTCACGTAGAGACCAACCGCACAGAAATCACATGGAAGTATAATGTACCCCACTCATCAGAATAGCAGTCTTATATACTGCCCTACATCACGCGTGATAATGAGGCATTCTTCCTTGCGGTTCATTTTCGGATTTCTGGAATTAATCCAGAGTGCCTTGAGAGTTTTTCGCGCCTGTGTTCTTGATTCGCGTGCGAGGATCGTGACACATACTTCGAAGTCGTCCCCGTTATGTCTCTGGGTCCTATGTGTGCCTAGCGAGGTATTTGGTCTATTTTTGCCGGCTAGGTGTTCTTTCATGCGGACACAGAGGGGTCTACCCGTTTCGCCAATGTATTCGTCACCACACGTCTTACAGGAGATCAGATAAACTATACCCGAGCCCATGCAATCACCGTCTCTACCACTGGGGCAAATTATGCAATTTTGAGTTGCACATAGATGGTCATATAGGCGGTTACGTACTAGCTGGCGCTTAAGATTACTCGGTGGTATTTCAACTACGCTCACCGAATTCTCTAAGCCCGCCCTTCTTAAGCAGCGTTTTATAGCTGTACTTATATCATTTGAGATGAAGGGTAGGATAAACGGGACCCTTCTATCGATAGAGTTGTCGTTTGGAGGCCTACGATTTCCTCTACACCTATTCTGAGCTACAGTTTCGTAGCCATTAGAAACGGCTATTTGCCGTGTCAAGTTCCGGGACTCCTCTCTCTGCTCTCTTCCCGTGCACACGTTGGTTGCTGTTCGAAACATGTTTCTTATAAGCGCCCTTTTCGTGTGAGAGGGGTGAGAGGAGAGGTAATGAACCAAGATATTTTTACTACTTGGCTTTCGGTACCACTTTGTAATGTAGCCATTTTCTGATAGGTGAATTTGTACGTTCAAAAATGGAAGCCATTTTTCTTTCGGCTTTTCTCGGGTGAACTTGATATACTCTGACTGTGCGTTTAACAATTCGAAGCATTTGTCCATTTCTTCTTGTGTTGAGCAAAGGACAAAGCAGTCGTCTACATAAACACCTTTACAACCTCAGCAGATAAGGCTAAGTACATAATTCCTTACCTCCTGTT